CCATATTGGATTTTGAGACATATTGAAAGTTGAGTAACCAACTCTCAATGTTAATTCACTGAGATTTTTTTTCTGATATAAAAGTTTGCATTATGTACACAAATCCTATAAACCTCATTAATTTATATAACATTTTATATGCAATATAATAGGATGTAATGCATTCAGTGTGTTTAGGAGACGTACTTTAAATTGAACTTTAAAATTATGTGTTGTAAGGAAAGTTTAGTTAAGTGTAAAAACACCTAGTTTTTGGTTAGTACATTTTTATTTACTACTATAACACAAAATACATGTTATCCTATAATTATAGTATTACATGTATCTGTTATATAGTGAAGCTATGCAAACACTGTACTATGACCAAAAATTCTCCGTATGTGTAACTCAAAGATAAACACAGATTAAATTTGCTGGTCTGCTTATATTTTAACTAAAGGAGAGGTCCTTTTAAGGATTATAAAATAGTTAAATATAAAACTACATCTTATTCCTATAATTTTAATAAATGGATTAAATCCTAATATACAACCTTGGAAACATTTTTGGTTCATTTTCAAAGCTTAATGTCCTCAATAATGAAGAATTAGAGTTATTTTGTATACTTGAATGCTATCTTTAGCTTACCAATTTATTTACATAGATAAGTGTTACTAACAAATCAAATGTATTTATGTTTGAGATACCATTGATAGGTCCTCAATTTAATAAATTTAATGTAAGGCTTAGGGAATTATATAATATGGGCATTTCGTATGAGAAATAATAAATTTACCATATATTGTAGAAATAAATCAGAGATAGGTAAGTTTTAATGGCAGTAAAAGGGCTAGCTATTTCAGTAGGGATTTTCTTACCAGTAAATGTGAATTTTAGTCTCAATAGTTCTGCATAGGTAATAAATGTAATCATCAATGTAATAAAATATATTTTCAATAAAATAAATGTAAAAATCAATGTAATAAAATATATTTTCTATTTTATAATGTTTTGTTTATAGAGAAAATACCAATACAGTTAGTTGTATGTCTGTTTAGGCCATAACGCTGTGAATGTTCATTATGCAGTGTAAGCTGCTCAGCCATATATCGTAGGTCCAATATATATATGATACTGCTCAATATATTATCAATTATAAATACATACATAAAATCTTGTTAGTAAAGGCTTACCAAAATTAACAAATGGGTATATTTCTACAGCCAATTTTGTGCTGAGCAGGCCAAATCATATTTCTGTCTTAATTAGATAGAAGAAGGGACAGGATGTGCTCTGATTTAAAAACAACATTCTCTATGGAATAAAAAAAGGATCTTGCACCAGGCAATTAGGCATATTTCCATCACTGGAAATGCTCTAAAAATTGATCTGGGGTACTGGTAAATGAAAATTCTTCCACATAACATCAGCTAAAAAAACCCTTTAGTTACAAATAATACAGACACTTAAAGCTATGTCATGTCCATATTTATTTTCCAAAAAGTTACGTAGTTTTTTTCACAAGGCAGAGACACTGTGTAAAAAAGCTTTTTCTTTCACACTTTACCATGAGTATGAAGTCTAATTATAATATTATCTCTTTTTCTATTTGAATGTGTCAGTTTTCATATTATGACTTTCACACCTGTACTAGCTAAGATTAAACAGCCATGTCATCTGAGACCACCCGGCAACTAAACTGTGAAAATTAATTTCAATTTCACCTAAGCTCAACTTCATGCTGTTTTCCCATTATTCCCATACCAGGATATATGTGACTTTTGCCTACCAAATGGCTTACTTATTATTATAGACAATGCTCTAAAGACTTGTAGTGATGAACTCTATCTCATAATTCTGTATAACTTCAATAAACACATTTTATGTTTGATGGAAGCATATTATGAAAGCATTATTCTTGTTTCTCATTGACAAATATTTAACTGAAAACCTCCTAATGATAAATATTAAACTCTAAAAACTGTTTAGGCTAGCTGGTAATATGTGTGATATTATTATAAAATAAACATATAAATGCCTTATGTAAGTAGTGTTTTGAGAAAGAGTTTAAAAATAAATGAAGTAAACACTGAAAACACCAAAAGAAAAAGTAGAAAAGTCTAAAATCACAGTTGGAGATGTAATATTCTTTATTAAGTCATAGAACAAAACAAGACAATAACATTACAAGGAAACTACATCCTGATAGTGTGTGTAAGTATGTGTATGAATATCTATGAAGATTTTATAAAAGTATTAGCATTTAGAATCTACCAATGTACAAAAATGGTATTACATCATGATTAAGTAGAGTTTATCCCTGGAATTCAAGACTACTTTAACTTTGATAACAATCAATGCAATCTGTCATATTGATAAAATCCAAAAAAAGTCATAATTTCACTAAAAACAGATAAATTATCTGACAGAATTCATCAATATTCATAAGAATTCTCAGATAAGAAAGGAACTCCCTCAACTTGAGAAAATGTAGCCTAAAGAATGAAGCTAACATTATACTCAGTGATAAATATGAAATTCTGTCCCCTGATGATCAGGAGCAAGTCAAGGATGAATGTCTTCACACCATTTCTAATAAATTTGCACCATGGTCATAAACAATACAATAGACCAGGGAGAGGGAGAGGTGGAAAAAGAAAGGGATGGAGGAGACAGGGACATCAAAGAAGATGGGAGACTGAGGGAGAGAGAATGGGAAAAGAGAGAGAGAGAGAGGAAAAAAAAAGGAGACAGAGCATCCAGTTTGTAACAAAGCAGTAAATTTATTTACAGGGGATATGATCAAGTATATAGGAAATTCTAAGGAATATACAAAATTGTTGCTAGATTTAATAAACTCTAATATGAGTTTACCAAGTCATAAAATGTTAGTTCAGCATATCAAAAGCAATTTTTATGTATATAAACAATTGAAAATTGAATTTAAAAATATCATGTAGATTTTAATGACATGATATATTTAGGAATATATATATACACATATATTTAGGTATATATATATGTATATATACACATACATATATACACACATTTATATATGTGTGTGTGTGTGTATATATATATATATATATATATATATATATTCCTAAATGTGTATATATGGTATATGTGTGTGTGTGTGTGTGTGTGTGTGTGTGTGTGTATGTATATATAGTTCTGGAAACTGGAAACTACAAAATACTGTTGAAAGAAAGTATACACATACACATTTAATTTTATATATTTTAAATTATATGTATACTTGTATCATTTATTTAAAATCTTACAACTTAACAGCACAACTAAGTTATAAATAGACAAATGCTTTGAATAGATACTTGATAAAATAGATACATTATTAGCTAATGCTTATGAAAAAACTCAATAGTTTAGTCATAGGTAAATGCAGATTAAAATTATAATGACATAAAACTATAAACCTATTAGAATAGCGAAAATTAAAAAGATGGGCAATATCAAGGGTTGATAAGGTTATGAAGTAACTACAACCTTTGAAACCATTTGGAAGTTTCTTTTAATATTAAATATACACTTAATATTAAATATACAACCTAGTAATTCTGCTAGATATTTATTCAGCAGAGATGAAAATGTATATCCATAAAAAATGAACACATACTAGACGACTCCATTAATGTAAGTTTTAGAACTGGGAAAACTAATCTATAGTAATTGAAATGAAATCACTGGTTTATTGGCCAAGGGGTTGATGAGTAGCAAGGCAGGGTGGTAGGGAGTGGGATGACTAGTCTTAAAATGGACAAGAGAGAATAAATTATTTGAGTTGATGGAATTCTTTATAGGTTGATTTTGGTGATGCTTGCTTGGATATGTAAATTTGTCACAACTAAATGTATATGCAAATGTGTTCATTTGACTCAGCCAATATATTATATATGTATGAAATACCAAAGTGAGACCAGACTTCAAAGATGATTTTCAATGAAACCAGTTTCACAACTTTTAAAAAGTAAAATTTACACACACCAGAAAGGAATAAAGAATATCGAGTAAGAGATGATTTTATTGGGAAGTGTAGGAGAAGAAAACTTTCTCTTTCTTTCGTTCTAGGTTCTTTGACATGTCTGATAACTAAACTGACATAACAGATTAATAGGAGAAAAACAAGTTTTGTACATACAGGAGCCCTATAAAAATATGAAGCTTTTTAGCAGTCAAGTAATGGAGACTTAAATACCATCCTGACCTAAGGGACCTAGGTCTCAAAAGGCAGGAAGAAAATTCATAGGAAGATGAGAAGAGCAACTGTTTGGCAAACAAATGGTTGTCATGCCCTGCAGATAAGTCTGTCTGATATAAAGAGTTATCCCTGGTAATAGTTGTCTTCCTGGGACAATCCCCCTTTCTAAGTTATTTTAGGCAATTAAAGGGAGGGTAAAAGCACTTCTTGAGTCTGTTGGGCCTTGATTATCTTCAGCTTGAAATAATGCACATACCAAAGTGGCACATTCTGGGGTGGCATAGTCTGTTCCCCTTGAAATTATTTAAAGGAAATTATTCCTATATTGTAAGCCCCTCTCCTACCACCACATGCACACACTAAGGAGAAAATAGGTGGTGTGAGTGTTTGTAAATGTGGAGGGAAGGAGACCATTTGAAGAGCTTAGTTAGATGTTGTTATGGGTTGAATTGAGTCTCCAAAAAGTTATGTTGAAATCCTAACCACAGGTACTTATGGGTGTGACTTTGTTTGAAATAGGGTCTTTTGCAGATGTAGTCACATTAAGATGGGGTCATCAAGGTGGGTTCTAATTCACTATGAGTGTTACCTCTATATGAAGAGAAGAGGGACATATGACCACAGGATGGAAGACTGTCATGTGATAACACAGGTGGAGATTGATGTGCTGAAGCTGTAAGTCTGGGGATGCCAAGGATTGCTGGCAAACTACCAGAAGGTAGGAAAAGGCAAGGATAGATTGTCCCTAAATGTTTCAGAGGGAACATGACCCTTCCAACACCACAGTTTCAGAATTCTATCCTCCAGGGTAGTGAGACAATAAATTTCTATGGTTCTAAGCCACCCAATTTGTGGTGCAGTGTTCACTAACACTAGGAAACTATTAGCAATAATCGCGCCTTGGATAAACCTCATTGGCTACGATACTGCCACTGCGCAAAGCTAACACTAGGAAACTAATACAGATATTTTCATTAACCAAGATTGTGACTTTCAAAAAGGAAAATAGAGAATGAAATATTTTGACTAGCTTTTCCAATGACTGGAGTAAGGGACAAGATGCTTCTGTGTTGCATTTAGCCTGTGCTCTCTTATTTTATCAGGCCAAAAATTGTATACATGTTTCCTATGGACCACATGTAGTCCATTTGGGAGATAGCCAGGATGGAATTAAGTCCTACCCAAGCCAAAAATATTGTCTTCAGGGAAGACATAGAAATTGTGTGGAGTGGATTGCTGGAAAGCCACACTTGGGAAAAGAATTGCCAGCTGAAAGACCATCATGGTCAACATCAGGTCAATGGAGTTTTAGTTGATAGGCCCAGAGTGGATATGTGAGAGAAGGAGTGAACTTTGCCAAGCACACAGTGTGCTAAGCTCTTTCACAAGAGGAGCTACCAAGTAGAAATTTCCCTATGTCCCTTTACCTTTCTTTTTCATTTTTGCTCTGATCCTGGAGGGTCAGAAATAGCAGCTAATGAGTGGCAAACAAAGAAAGCAAGAAAGAATGAAGGCTCCAAGTATTTGCTCCTTTTAAAGGGCAGAAAACCTGCCTTTTCTTACTTGCACTAGTTAGGAGAAGGACAAAAAAATAAGTCTAACTTGTTCAATTCGGATTGAAGAGCTGAGTAATAATATCAAAGTGTATATAAGATTATTTCTAAATCAAGGCTGTGTTTTCTGACATAAAGTGATAGAAAATTCTAAATTCCTTAAGAGGATACTGGAAAATCATGAGATTTGCTCAAGTTTTTATCCAGGGGTAGAGGAGATATCTACAGAATATTTTTAAAGAATGTGACAGAATGAAAATAAAGGTTCTGCTATGATTACATCCCATGGGACCTCATTTTTTGTACACAAATCTTAGAGACAGAGATCAAAACTTGAATGAAGTCAGGCATTTCTGGTCTGCTTATTATATCGTGATAAGGTATCTTGTGAAAACAATGTATTCAATGGAGATTTTTAACCCCATCAGATACTACGTCTGGAGGAATTTAAACAAAAGAGGCGGTGTGGTGCTAAGAGAGTCATAGGTGCAGAAGTCAAAAATTGCAGTTATTAGTAAGCACAATCTGTACAGTAGGAAGATAGAATTGGTAATAGGATTTAACATATGTGAAAACTGTGGAATGGCTCTGTGTCTAGATAGAATAAGTAGCAACAGATTTCTTTAAAGTCTTGAATGCTCGATTTCCTTTTGGGATACAGGAGTTGTCATTGTATTCAGAATAACAAAGAACAATAATCACTGTCTGGAGACTCAGGGTGTGTTACCAAGGAGAAGCTCTGTGTGTGTGTGTGTGTGTGTGTGTGTGTGTGTGTGCGCGTGTGTGTGTGTGTTTACCATGATGTTTTCTTAATATCAGCTTTCATCTCTAGAGATAATCTCCCGAGATGGCCCAGTTTTTTACATTATACATACATAATTTAACCACTTATTGGTAAACAGTATATAAAAACAACATATTTATATTGTTTATCAAAATATTGTTTTCTAATCTCTCTGTCTCTCTGCATACACATAGTGATATTTGTAAACACATATCTTTAGCAAAGGTGGTGAATGCATAATATACCAGAATTTAATTAACAATTTGTTTTAATAAACATTTAAATTGTTTCCAATTCCTTTGTTATTATCAGCAATTGTTCACAGATACTTATACATAAATATTTGTACCTGTTACTTTTTTTCATGAGACATATATAGAGAAATTGTATTACCCCAACAAAGATTCTCACAGAAATTGTAACCAAACTCAAGGGGCTCACAACTTGGGATACATCAATTTTTTCATGGAAGTTTTGAAAGCAAATAACTTTTTATTACTTGTTACAAGTGAGGAGATCAGGAGATATCTCTCAAAGTACTGTCTCCCTGTAGGGTTAGTATAGGAAGCTTTTATTCAGAGTTATACTAGAGGGCAGGGGCAGGAGGCTTGCACAGGCATCTTGGTTCAATTGTGCATGCCTAGCATGTCAACATGCTGGCACATACATCTTCTGTTCAAAAAATGGCAGAAAACTCTGCCCATAGGAGGAGATCATAATATTATAATGAGCTATAAGTAACTTCAGGACAACTGTGAAGGGGGTTCTGCTTAGGTCCTCAGCACCAAACCACCTCAGACTGGTTGGAACTTCTGGTTGTGCAAAATGAAACACATTCTTTCCCTGCTTTTGTCCCTTCCTTTCCTCCCTCCTGCTGAGAGCTTTCAGACCCCTTAGAAGTTGTGTAAACTTCCCCTTGTGACCTAGCTAACAAATGGTGGAACAGTTGGCACACACACTAGTAGATTCTTATTCTCTGAGGACCTCTGTTTCTTTAGCCACATGAAACTGTATGAACAGGGGCAGCTGGGTGGCAAGACTGGTTAAAGCAACTGACTCTTGATTTTGCCTCAGGTCATGATCTCACAGTTGGAGCCTGGTATCAGGCTCAGCTGACAATGCAGAGACAGCTTGGAATTTTCTCTCCCTTTCTCTCCCTGTCCCTCTCCCACTTGCTTGTTCTCTCTCTCAAAATAAGTAAATAAACTTAAAAAAACAACAACTGTGTGAACAAACTTATATAAAGTCACACCATCTAAAGTTTCAGATGACCTGAAGTGGTTACAAATAGTAAAAAAAAAAAATAAAATAAATACATTAGTAATAAAGATATTTAAAACAAATTAAAAGCAATGTAAATCAATTATATCTAGTACAAAGATCATATAAATGATATTCTATAATCAACATATGATATTTTGGGCCTTAAAATTCTAATTGAAACTGTATTTGAGAAAACGATGTATTTGACAAATAGATTATAATTATGTAAAATTCCAAGTAACCTTTATATTTCATAGTCATATTTAAAAATATGTAAATAATAACTCACCTTTAAATATGTTTGACCTATAATTTAAAAGTATTATGGAGTCAAGATTTTATACTCCTGGGTAATTTGAATGCTCCTTCCCTTTTAGATACAAGAACTAAAATTAGAAACTTTTGATATTGTATTATTTGAAAGAGCATCCCTAGAAAGTGTTGAGTTAGAGTGTAACATATATACACACACAAATTGTGCAGGAAATACTCACACAAACAACAACGTAATACACACAAAGATAAACCTTTGCCTTAATTGCACTTTTCAGTGACTAAGAACTATATAATATTTGCACATAAATATTAACTTTCTATATTTCTGTTATGAGTAATAGCTTTTATCTTGGGTAAAACATTTAGATGAGAAAAACAAGTTGTTAGAAGACCAACTTGGTACATCTTTAAGTTATCTATTCATAGAAAAATATATTCTGATATGAATCATAGACACATATGTATATGTATATGAACACCCTAAAGTAGTCATCTTTCCATATTTTAAAACTTTTGAGGGAAAGATGTAGGGTATGTAACTTAGGAGTCTCAGTTGGATTAAGTTATTTAGAGTGAAGAAGTTGAGTTATTTACTTTCTAAGTGCCTCACTTTTATGTGTTGTGATAGGAACAAAATACAAAAATGACTTGGTGGTAACCCAAAATGGAAGAAGTCTAATGCTTTCTGATAAATGTAAGTTTGATTTGCTTTTAATTGATTTCTCTCGTTCAATATAGACTCTTTGCCCAAAAGATCTATACACTAGAAAAATATAAAAGACTTAAGGTCTCATCCATATTAAAAGTAGCATTTCCTTTTGGAATATTAAAATAGGATTAATATTTACTAAAATTCAACTAGCTTTTTCCTTTGTGACTTTCATCCTCCCTTCCCTTTCTTTCCTTTGTTCTTGTCAAAAGAGAGGATAATGTGATATATTTGAAAGAGAACATATATATAGGCATTGGTCTTAGAACAAAATATAACATCTTTTTAAATATTGTTGTATACTTGCTAGAAAACAAAAAGGAAGTAACCTCTCCACCAAAACAAAAAGCAGCTCTAATTGAAATTTTAAATCATTTTTATTTTAATTCTTTGACAGATGTGCTGAGATTCAGAATCCTCTCCCTTGACTTCCTTGAGTGACGTGGTATTTTCATTTTAATGAAGTTACAACTATTTTGTCTTAAGAGGAAGTGTTCTACATTATACATTTTTTAAGTGTCAGAAAATTGGGGGGTAAATGAGAGAAATATCAGTCTTTCCTAAACATACCCAAGATTCTTCCAAGCCAATGAACTGCCATGTATATTTCCAGGTAGCTGTATGTTGAAGTGCTGGGTTGACCAAGAGGATCCTATTAACTGTCAATGAACACAGATAAATTTTCATAGAGTGAGCCAATAAAATTAGAATGATTGGTGCTGTAGTAAACTTTGGAGAGAGAGGAGGAAAAAAGTATATACACAATAAGCATGGCATGTTAGTGTAAATACCATAATTTTTATTTTAATTATGATATCTTATTTTTGTTTTTTTAAAGTTTATTTATTTTGGGATGCCTGGGTGACTCAGTGGTTAAGCGTCCGACTTTGGCTCAGGTCGTGATCTTGTAGTCTGTGAGTTCAAGCCCTGCATCGGGCTCTTTGCTGACAGCTCAAAGCCTGGAAACTGTTTCAGATTCTGTGTCTCCCTCTCTCTCTGACCCTCTGTCTCTCTCTGTCTCAAAAATAAATAAACATTTAAAAAAAAAGTTTATTTATTTTGAGAGAGAGAGCAAGCAGGGGAGGAACAGAAAGAGAGGAAGGGAGAGATAATCCCAAGCAGGCTCCGTGTTGTCAGCATAAAGGTCAACATTGGGCTAGATCTCACAAATCCGAGAGATCATGACCTGGGCTGAAACCAAGAGTTGGACACTTAACAGACTGAACCACCCAGGTACCCCATTTATTTTAATTTTTTAAATGATGACTATTTATTTTTAGTTCATATTAAGTTCCAGCCCAATTGGATAGATGCTATTATTGTCCCCATTTCATAGGCAGGAAAACTGGGAATTGAGAG